GGGGTCCTTGTTTTGAAAAAAAAATAAGGGTCTGTTTGGTTGGAGACTAATATGGCTAGCCACACAAATGTGGCTGAAAAATTGGACGTCAAACTTTGGCAAAAGTTAGCAAAAAATGTCTCCATGACAAGTTGGCCATATGGGCAATAAAGTGTGGCAAAAACCCTATTTTACTTCAAATTTTGAACTAAAACAACGGCTTGCTTTTGAACGGAGGACAATCTTTGAGTTCAGGACGAACAAAATGCATGACTGAACAACTTCGCCGGACCACGGGAAAGGAGGGCTAGGTTTATTTTTTTGAAAGACACCAGGGCTAGAATTTTTTTTTGGTCACGACTTCATCATAATAACCCTAGCCTTCTCTTTCCTCCTCCATAAGAAAACGTCCTAAGCTTTCCTCTTCTTCCGTCGAAGCCGCCGGTCCGCCTTGTTGGGGATATACACGACGCGGCTAACCCACCCGTCCGCGCGGTTTGCCGCGCCTGCGATTGACTCGTCCGTCCGTACCGGCTTACAGCGCCGTGGCCGACTTGTCTGTCTGTGCCGCCTCTGATGATGCGGCTGTCTTTATCGTCTATCTCTCGCGGGCTGGTCTACATCAACACACCGGATCGCATCTATCTACACGAGTTGTTTATTGAGTGCAAGCAAGTCACTGCTCGGGTAGCCCGGTTCTTTTTTCCAACAATTTGGAGGCAAATTATTATATATTGTCAGCCGTCATCTGCACCGGATGGCTCAATGGATAGGCGCACAATTCGCCGCCATTACAGTTTGGTTAACTTCAAATAGCCAGTTGGGATGAACCATTGGCCGAGTTACTGATACAGCTCATACGTGATCATTTATAACCCGGCGCAGTCGACCTCAACCTTCTATGGATTCACATTGTGTTATCAACGCCAAGGATATACAATGAGTAATACGAGGGTCATCAACTTGCCACCTTGCTTCCAGCTTCAACATATTCCAGCGTTCCGCTGTTCAACTATATGTCGGTTTATATCACGGTCAAACATGGAGAATCTCAAGACAACTCCTCGAGCCGTCTTAAGACTCGGGGGCTACAATGACATGGCTTGGCAAAATTGGTCGGTTTTAGTGAATTCAAGAACTCTGGGTCGTTGGAGGGAAAATAACCTGGTCCCGGAGGCTACTGCCACATTGGTGCAAATTTAACAGCCGTCAGAAAAATTTCCGGTTCAAGAGGAAAAAATTCCGGTTCAGAATCCGGCTAAGGGAAATCTGTCTCTCACAGAGCTTTCAAGCTCTAAATATCCGGTTTAAAATTCCAGTTCAAAAAGAATCCATCTCTCGTGAGTTCGAGTTCTCAGGAAAAATTAAAGGTTGCCAAAGAGAACTTACTGCCATGATGCGCAGTTCAAACATGGGCATCCTACCTTATTGGCTTATCATACTATTGATACTTGGGGGCTTTCTGCTCACTGAGCATAGCTATGACTACCCTTTGATCCGCCTTATAGGCTGGGCTGTAAAGATCACTTGGGGGTGAGGGAGTCCTGAATTAGGGGGTCTCTGGACAGCCGGATTATATCCTTTGGCCGGACTATTGGACTATGAAGATACAAGATTGAAGACTTCGTCTTGTGTCCGGATGGGACTCTACTTGGCGTGGAAGGCAAGCTAGGTAATACGGATATGTATATCTCCTCCTTTGTAACCGACCTTGTGTAACCCTAGCCCCCTCTGGTGTCTATATAAACCGGAGGGTTTTAGTCCGTAGGACAACAACAATCATACCATAGGCTAGCTTCTAGGGTTTAGCCTCTCTGATCTCGTGGTAGATCTACTCTTGTACTACCCATATCATCAATATTAATCAAGCAGGACGTAGGATTTTACCTCCATCAAGAGGGTCCGAACCTGGGTAAAACATCGTGTCCCCTGCCTCCTGTTACCATCCGCCTTAGACGCACAGTTCAGGACCCCCTACCTGAGATCCGCCGGTTTTGACACCGACATTGGTACTTTCATTGAGAGTTCCTCTGTGCCGTCGCCAGAAGGAAGGATGTCTTGTCTCGTCTTTAAAGACGGTACTACTGTTGGGGGAGCTTTGGCTGTCGGCCAAACTCTCCGGCTAGGCGGATTCATCATGACCGCCTGTTCGGCCGCCGCGTCGACGATGACTTCTCGGGTCATCGAAAACAGCCTCCACGTTAAATCGGCACTCGCCGAACAGATGGATCCAATGGAGCTCGCCTCCTTAACGAGCTCTTGGATCGCACCGCCGCCTTGGGAGTCGCTACGGACTATGATCGGATTGGACTTAAACCCGATCAAAGGGAGATTAACTCTCCACCGGTCACCCATCATATTGCAGTGGTGGAGGAACAATGCGGTGACCTTTCCTCTATCTTGAGGACCAACTATGTCCGGATTCCCGAGCTCTCCGAGCCGGACGCCCGTTCGCGGGAGGACAACATCCAATCCCTGAACTTAGAGTCAGGCAGCGGGCCAGGATTATCGGGTAACACCCCGGAATCGGAACTTCCAAAATTGGAAACTCCTCGGCCCCTGGATCCCAGATCAGGTATGGGTTCGGATTCAATTCCACCCACCCACCCAAACATAAGCGATCTTTCCCACATCAGGCAAGAGCCCCAGGAAACAGTACATCACTATTGGGCCAGATTCCTCCTTGCGATGAACAAGGTTAAGGACTGTCGCGAGGAAGACACAATCCTATTTTTCTGTAATAATTGCACGGACAAGGGAATCCTTAACGCCATAAATCACCGTGAGATAACACGCTTCGCTGACTTGGCGTCCATAGTACGAAAGTACTGTGTGATGGAAAGTGCTTGGAAAACCGAAACAAACTTTTGGGATAATCCGGCCCTGAATACAAACCTAGTCCGAAATAAAAGGGTGCATTCTCACAACACACCCGGGTCAACTACCAAAAAGCAAAAACACTCTACAGGGCACGGAACCGTACTGGAGGGATGACTCAACGGACCCTGCAAAATTCATAGTACAGCGGATACAATACCAACGCACAGCCTTAGAGCATGTTGGATACTCCGGCAGGTGGCCAAAAGTGGTGAGGATCTTCTTATCCCAAATACCACAGAGCACCATCTCGTGGATAACAATATGGTGTTAACAGTCTTTGAGACCTTCGCGTCAAATAATAGGCGCAAGCGAACACTCCGCAGCATGGCCGAAATCTGCCACGTAGCAGCAATAAATCCATGGAGTGACACGGCTATTACCTTCAATGCCAGTGACGAACCTATATTCCGAACAGCCCGAGCACCAGCGGCACTGGTCTTCAGTCCAATCATGGATGGCTTTCGACTCACCAAAGTACTCATGGACGGCGGCAGCGGATTAAACCTCATCTATGAGGAAACTCTTCAAAAGATGGAAATAGACTGGAACCGCATTGAGCTAAGTAGCACAACCTTTAGAGGAATCATCCCCAGTCAGGAAGCACGATGTGCTGGGAAAATCACACTAGATGTAGTATTCGGCACGCCGGATAATTACAAGTCCGAAGAAATTACATTCCAAGTGGCCCCGTTCAGCAGTGGTTATCACGCTCTTTTAGGATGGGAGGCGTTCACAATCTTCCAAG